ATTAAATATAAGAATACAATGCTATAGTTATTTGTTTATTTATAATTATTATTAAAGTATTAACAAGATCTGCACTGCAGCTGAAAGAAAAATAGCATAACTAAAACAACTTTGCCCTTTGAGAATCTAGATTAAATAGCACATAGACGGATAGATCTTTTCTTTGCATGCCAAAAGTGAGTAAATAAATATAATAATATATCTAAGCAGTATTTTACATGGAAAATAAGGTCATCATTACAGTATAAATGTTCCTCAATTAATACTACATGTACTGTGTTTATTTCAATGTCCCTTATAGTATAACTTAAATTGTATAAAAGTTTCTAAAATATAGTACAGCAATATATCTAAGCCAAATTTGCAAAAATACTAGCCAACATACTGCAAGCAACCTTGTTAGAAGTCAATTCCAAAGTAATAAACTTGAATTTGATAGTTTGCTAAATAAAACTGGACACTGTTGGTAGGGGTTATTTGAAGGGAATTCCGACTGGCTGAGAAAACATACCAGCATAACACCACAATTCTATTGCAGCGCTGGACCAAGGGACAGACTTACACTCCCAATGGTGTCCATCTCTCAAATATATGTCAACATGTTTTGGGTTGTCTCAATCTAACTGTGACTTGCCCTCATTGACTAGTACAAACAATCTCAGTAATGCCTAACTGTAATAATAATAATAATTTTTTACAAATTAAAATAACGCATTTCAGACAGTTTTAAATAATATATAATTGTCCATAAATTATTACCATTGTTTTCATCATCAGGACTGTTATTAAGCCATTCTTTCCATGACTGAATATATTCATTACCGGTACTACTTTTGAGAGTTTAGTAACGCTATTTGTGTTATGGCAATTGTTTACTTTATTTATGTCAGATAATAGAATGACCCAAGATTTTGTGAACATGTTTTATACAGTTTGTGTTCAGAGATACTTCTTCCTCAAGTACGCACCATTATTTAGTATTTATAATTTATACCAATATCAGTTATAATTTTAATTGGAAATCTGCCAATCTCG